GTAGGCGCAGGAGAGCCCGGCGGATCCGGCGCCGACGACGACGACGTCGGTGTCGGCGTAGGTGATCATATCGGTCATGTAGCGCCTGGTCATCTCCCTGGAGACTATGGACTCCTTGATGGGGTCGAACTTGAAGGCGCTAAGATCGTACGACGGCGTCGAACCGTTGGCGGACATGGAAACAGAGAGGCCATGGCTGTTGGAGTTGGTGGCAGCCTTGGCGGGCTGAAGGCGGACCACGGGAGTGCCATGGAAGGAGGAGTCGAGGAGAGAGGACTTCTGAAGCTTGGTGGCGAGGGAGGAGGAGGTGAGAGTAGAAGCCATGGATGCCATTGACGGAAGAGAGAGAGAGAGAGAGAGAGGAGGTGATAAGATTGATTTGGGTTTTTGGGTTTGTAATTGATGGGAGTGAGGAGGGTGGGTGGGTATTTAAGGAGGGGGTGAAATATCTGTGGGGAAATTGGGAGGGGCCACGTGGGAAGAGGATAGGATATGAATGAAGGGTCTAGAATTTTGTGAGGTAAAGCTCAGCTCAGCACACAGGTCCAGTCCACAGTGTGGGCTGAGTTGTATGGGTGTGTGAGAGTGTACTTCACTGCCATTTGCCTCTGATCTTTTTTTGGTTGTTCATGTGGGGTGCGTGCCATTTTTTGTACTTTTGTGCAGAGCCCTTTTGTCATTATCAATGACAAAGGCTCCTTTAAAGAAATAATCTCTTTTCATACAGGGTGGACGGATCGGCGTTTGGGTGCGGGAATAGAGGGAAAATACCTTTTCATTTTCCCTTTTTTTTCTTGCACAAATCATGGTGGGCTTACGCTAATCACTCTAAACTAAGCGTCTTTGTACTTAATGGGGGTAATTTTCACTTTGCTAATTGAAGAGATTTATTTGATATTTTCGTACACACACTTTGGATTTCGTATTATTCCGTATCTTTTGTCTTTTTTGCTGTCAAATCATCCCTTAACACACAACGTGGTAATAAATCAACCGCAAATTATTTAAAATAATGAAATAAATTATTTAAAATTTTTAAAAAAGAAAACATGTAACTCTCTTTCCAATCCCCTCCTCCTAGCACAACCACTACAACTCCCAACAATAATCGTCCATTCCCCCTCACCAATCAAAACACCTAACTTTAGACTTGTCAATGGATCAGATTTTGATATGAATCCGTTACAACCATGTTTGGTTCACGGAATGAATTTTAGGGGAAATCACTTCCCATATCATTTCTTAAGGGAGGAGAAATGAAGTATTCATTTTCCATGTTTGGTAATGCTAGGAAAGTAACCGAGATATATCACTTTATTTCATTTCCCATGTTTATTTTGATTAGGAATGGAAAACAAAGTTTGTATAAATTTTCAATTATACCCATATTAAATCAAATATAAAAATGCATCTAATGATATATTGTAATTCTAAATTGTTAATATGGACAAAATGATCATGAAAAATGTGCATTTAATGTTGGCTCATTTCCCAAATTTTTCAATGAGGAGGAAAAACAAAACCTAGGAGGGGAGCTTCACTTTCCCCCTACTTTCTCATGTGCAAAGCAACCACTTTCCATGCTTAGACTTACAAAGCATGGGAAAGCAATTGATTTCACATCCCCAAGCCTCCTTCCCCATAAACCAAAAGGGGAAAGCTAATAGCCTTTTTTAAGAATTAAATCAGAGACGAAATTTCCATTTTAATTGAATATATCCAATCCGGTCCAGCCCACCAAATATGACCTTAGAGTTGAGTTTTTAAACTTCTAGAGGTCGTTTGGTATGACGAATTGTCATGGACTGGACTAAATCTTGGGACTGTCTTAGATTAGCACGGATTGGTCTAAACTGGATTAAGTACTAACCGACATTTGGTACTGCGTCGAATGAAGCTGGATTGTAAAAATTGTGAAGACCTATGTTTGGTGTTGTGTCAAATTTAAAAATAATTATTTTAATTTTTAAATAATTAAACGTAAGCTTTTTTTTTCTTTTTGGGGGGGGGGGGTAATAAGAGGGGCTAAGAGCCTAGAACAAACAGACTAAGCACAAACAACACGAGAACTAGACACCCTAATAGCATCCGCAACCAAACAATTCACAAGAAAAGCTGGCACCTCAGTAAAAGACTGCACCCCAGGGACAAACTCAGAACTCTTAGAAGCCAAGACATCAGCAGCCACATTCTACTCCCTAAAGATATGCTTAATTGAACATCTCCAACCAACTTGAAATTTTAACTTGCAACAACTAATAAGGCTGAAAAAGGGTTGTGTGGAAATAGTAGAGCTAGAAAGAAGAGTCACATCCACACTTGAGTCACTTTCCACCTCCACAAAACGAAAGCCAAACTAACAAGCCAAATGAAGCCCCCAAAATATGCCCCACAACTCAGCTTCAAGAACAGAACCAACACCCAAGTTCACAGAGAAGCCCTTAATCCAAATTATCTCTTAAGAGACCACTAGCACCAATAATCTCTTTTCATAGTGATGGCTAATCATTCTAAATTAACTGTCTTTATACTTAATGGGGGTAATTTTCACTTTGCTAATCGAAGAGATTTATTTGATATTTTCGTACACACACTTTGGTTTCCTTATTATTCCGTATATTTTGTCTTTTTTGCTGTCAAATCGTCCCTTAACACGCGACGTGGTAATAAATCAACCGCAAATTATTTAAAATAATGAAATAAATTATTTAAAATTTAAAAAAAAGAAAACATGTCACTCTCTTTCCAATCCCCTCCTCCTAGCACAACCACTACAACTCCCAAAAATAATCGTCCATTCCCTCTCACCAATTAAAACACCTAACTTTAGACTTGTCAATGGATCAAATTTTGATATGAATCCGTTACAACCATGTTTGGTTCACGGAATGGATTTGAGGGGAAATCACTTCCCATATCATTTCCTAAGGGAGGAGAAATGAAATATTCATTATCCATGTTTGGTAATGCTGGGAAAGTAACCGAGATATATCACTTTATTTCATTTCCCATGTTTATTTTGATTAGGAATGGAAAACAAAGTTTGTATAAATTTTCAATTATACCCATATTAAATCAAATATAAAAATGCATCTAATGATATATTATAATTCTAAATTGTTAATAGGGACAAAATGATCATGAACAATGTGCATTTAATATTGGCTCGTTTCACAAACTTTTCCATGTGGAGGAAAAACAAAACCTAGGAGGGGAGCTTCACTTTCCCCCTACTTTCTCATGTGCAAAGCAACCACTTTCCATGCTTAGACTTACCAAACATGGGAAAGCAATTGATTTCACATCCCCAAGCCTCCTTACCCATAAACCAAAAGGGGAAAGCTAATAGCCTTTTTTAAGAATTAAATCAGAGACGAAATTTCCATTTTAATTGAATATATCCAATCCAATCCAGCCCACCAAATATGACCTTAGAGTTCAGTTTTTAAACTTTCAGAGGTCGTTTGGTATGACGACTTGTCATGGACTGGACAAAATCTTGGGACTGTCTTAGATTAGCACGGATTGGTCTAAACTGGATTAAGTACTAACCTATTTGATCAAACAACTAATCAATTTGATCCAACGATTGAGAAATAGGGCCTCACCCAAAGGCCATATATAAGGCCCGCACTATAGAATTCTTGATGCTTAGCATTGCTCGTTTGCATATAGCCACATACTTGTTCTTCTAAGTTTCAAATAAGTTTTTTTTTTTTTGGGGTAACAAGAGGGGCTAAGAGCCTAGAACAAACAAACTAAGCACAAACAACACGAGAACTAGACACCCCAATAGCATCCGCAACCAAACAATTCACAAGAAAAGCTGGCACCATGTTAAGAGAAATTACCCTGATGATCCATATCACTCACATTAGAAGGCTCAACCTTGTTAATTCCCATCTCATTGATATCAGGAGGTTCATGACCAAAAAATAAGCCTCCCTTACCCAAAGGCAACTTTGGAAAAAGAGAGCCACCCAAATTAAAAGAAAACTTCCCCCGAACATCATCTTGAACATCAGAGCCATTAACTTGCAGCCCCACAGGTTCAATCTCATGACAAGAGAAAGGTTTAGCCTTAACTCTGCTCTTCCATGGCCTCCTAAAAATAGAACCACTTTTAACAATACCACCACCAGATGTAGCTACTACAGAATTGGTAATATCCTTAAGAGGTTTTTTAAGCACCCATGTGCCGGAGTCACGAGAGGAAGAAGATTTCACCCCAACACTTTTGGCCTTGGTAGAATAAGTATTAGCAGAAAAACCCTCTCTTTTAGAACTAGAACCACTATTCTTAACAAGAGTAAATCCCTCCGTATCTTCTTTTTTGCCCACCTACTCAGTCAACACATTGAAACGAGAACCAAAAACAGGACTAACAGCTTTAGCACCAACATCTTTTGTATTCCTCTTACTAAGCTCAGCACCCTTCCCTATATCATTCGTGCTCTTCTTCCTAAAATTCCTTAGCTTTAACTGTTAGAAATGTGCCCTAAGAGCCAATACATTTGATGTAATCTCCTTAGAATACATTTCGTATATGATAAATAAAGGG